GGCGGGGTGGAGAGGGTCAATGGGGAAAAAGGGGGATATCTATAACACTTTCAACAATGAAGATAATTTTTAAAAAGAAATATGTAAACTATATTTAAAAAACTACATTTAAAAGGTTATCGTATTTCAGCAACTGCCTGCAAAGATAAATATTTATAGTGTGATAAACAAAGGGATAAAACTTTAATATAGAATGCATCCTTATAAACCAATAAGAAAAAGACCATCCCAATTGCAAATGGCCAAAAAACATGAGTAAATAATTGCAAAAGAAGGAATACTAATGGCTAATAAGCATTTGGGGAAAATATACAACTTTATTGGCAATCAAATCAATTCAGATATAAAGCAATGAAATTCAGTATTTGTTTCAAAATTAGCAAAGAATTTTTGAAAAGATAAGTGAAGGGTCAGGCAAATTACTACTCATACTGATCAGCGTGCCTGGAGGGCAATTTGTCAAAAGCTTTTAAAAGTACTTCTCTTTAGATCTACCAAACCTACTTTATTCAGAAAGTATTTTTGAGCACCTACGATGTGCTTCATGGTTTCCAGTTATTAGAAATTAAGTTTCAAGTACCAAGAACTAAATCTGTCCTAAAGAAATAATCAGATAATGGCACATTCATTTTACAAGGGTGTTATTAATAATAGTGAAATATTGAATGCAAGTTAAATGTCAAACATGAGGAATTTTGCTAAGCAAATTATGGTACATCCATGTAGTAAAATGTACTATAACCATTACAGGGAAGAGTGAAAATGTTCACAACATATTATGGTGTGAAAAGGCCTGGTAACAAATGGATATGTGCAAACTAATCCCAATGTTGTTTAAATATGTAAATGAGTAGAAAAACATGCTAGGTTTGTATCCCACCCTCCAAATAAAAAGTATCACTTGATGGATTTTTTAAAAAATATACTTTATATTTTCGTATCCAAAGTGAACATTGATTATCATTACAAGCATACAAATATTTTTATTTATTAAAAATGATTCCTCAGGAATAAGATGTATAGATTGGAACAACGTCATAATTGGTCAATGCAGCTCACTAAGAGAGAAATAAAAAGTTCTTTACTATTTAAGATGTTTAGTGTTGAATTTAATGAACACAAACACCAAGGATTTAAATCTAATGAGAGCAAAGTTGTTTCTTAGCCTCAGGCCAAAAACCATTTTGCAGACAGCATCTTGTGGTTGCATAGGCTCACATGATGCCCTTGTAACAGGGTAAAGTCACCTCTTCTCTGATTTTACTTCTTCTGAGCAAATGCTGTCATTTTCCACACACGGTGAAAACCCACAGCTATTCCTCCAAGGATTCCCAAGAACAGTAAACTCTGGATAGATGGAATCATTCATAGTGGATGGAATATTCCATCACTTCCTATCTTGGTTTATGAGGTTGGCCATTTTCTAACATTTTTTCTGGAAGAAAGAACAATTTAACCCAAAAGAAACACATAAACAAATAACTCAAGGGATGAGTGTAGAGAAACCCAACAAAATCACTTCTTTACCAGCCTATTACTCTCAATCTATCCAAAATAGTACTGTAAGAAAGGTAAACTGCAAGGCTTGGAGTATTACTTACATTTTTAAAAATTTTTATTTATTGATTCCACTTACTCATGCATTTTGGTTGCTTCTTTTATGTCCGTTGACCAGAGATCGAACCCTCAACCTTGGCATATAGGGATGATGCTCTAACCAACTAATCTTCCTGGCCAGGACCAGAATATGTCTACTTTGATATGGAAGACACCCACTGTGCCTTTTCTCCTTGTTTTCCTAGTTTCTTTGTTATAGATGAGCACTGGGGAAGTAAGTGTGGCTGAGTTCTATTTCCAGGTTTATTGTGCATTATAAATGGTGTATGCCATGACCCCATAATGATGTGTGGTTGTTGCTCTTTCCCCAGAATGTCGAGTTGTGAAGTCCACTTCTTATACCAAAATAGTTTCATCATCCCGCAGGAGCACCACAAAGAGCCCAGGTCCTTCCAGGCGCAGCAAGTCACCGGCATCAACCAGCTCAGGTAAAGCAGCAAAGGACACTTTGAAGAAAGTGCCTTGTTTATGATCCATGACAAGCTGAGGTGTGTGAAGCCCAGAGTGTGAGGGTTTAAGATAGTGTAAATTCCAGTTTATAATTTTGGAACATGTCCAAGTTGTGGAGCAGATTTCCCTGGGTCTAAAAGTTGGCTGTAAGACAAAACATCAAGCTCAGGGAAACTAACTTAGGTGAAGACTCAGGAAACCCAGATTTGCCCACAAATGGAAGTATACTACTGACTTGCATAATTTCTACCACAAAAATTAATTTTTTAGGCTAAGGGCCTCAAACTCCAGAAGTCTCTGTTAAAGCATTTGTTCCACTTGGGACGGGCTTATGAAGAGTTTCCAATTTGTATTTGCTAAATCTTTGTTTACCATTGGCCCCAGCAAGGCTGTGGAGCTAATGGCAGTAAGAATGAGAGTCTGGTGCAGGGAAGGCTACAGTGACTTGGCCTGTGTCCTCGATTCTAGTGCTGGTGTTGGAGCAGGATGTGTATTCACAAGATGACCATCTCAGTGCTGCCTTTTCTTTCTTTGGTCTTAAAACTGACATGAGTAAGTTAAGTTGTTTTTATTTTTGTCTTTGACGTGTGTTTTTTTGGACTCAGCTATAAGGTCTATTTCACTATTAATTATTCATTAAATGATATAAACTATAGAATGGGAATTATTAAATGATACATACATCAAAGTGATTGTCACCTGATTTCATGAGGATGGTGAAGCTCTTAGGAACAAGGTCTTTTAGGGCCTATTCAGAAGCCTTCTTGTACTCAATAGCATTGCCCCAGGGGGATGTGAAAAGTTCTCTAGTCTGGGGCTACAGGCCTGTCTCTGGCACCACTCACCAACTATTGCACTACTATGTAAGTTATAACCTACATATTTTAAAATGGAGATGCTATAATATTTTTTTCCTAATAATAAGTAAAACTGAAATCTCTTAAGTGAGTGTTGTAAGAAGGAACTCTCAGTAACGTGGATAGTTAGAGCACCCACCCCAACTTGGTTCTCTAAGAGTCACCTTTTCCTTGGGGATTTACTAATTCCCTAGACACTCTCCAAAGACCTTCTTTTCTTTGACTCTCACTCTAAGGTTGGCAACACTGGTCTACCACTGTCCCCTTCTTACAGCATGACCTACATCATAATCAGTGAGGGAATAAGTCTCAGAACACAGCTGTCACTTGAGATGCAGCATGTTCACCCTTCCTAGTTTAAGGGTGGGCTGAGAACTCCCTTAATATAACATAGCTCACCAAGATTGAATTAACACTGAAATGGGACTTTGCTAATGGATAAGGTAGTGAAACTCAATGTTTAGAGTGCATGAACATCAGTTGGTAACTTGGTAAAGCTTGTGATCATCACCTCACCCCCCTTTTAGCAAGTATTCCAGATGATTCTGCTCAGTTATTCTACAGTCCATACTTAGAGAAACTGTCAGATAAGGAAGTGGTTCCCCAGACCAGTAGTATTACCATTACTTGACTTTTTGGAATAACAAGTCTTGAGCCCCTTCCCAGACCCACCGAATCAAAAACTTTGGAAATGGAGCCCAGCATCCTGGGTTTTTCAAGCAATCCAGGTGATTCTGATGCTCACTGTGTTACAGATAACAAAAAGGAAATAGAAGAAATTATTTGACTCTGGATAATCTAAGATGAAAAGTACAGCTTGCTTATCTTCATTTATTGGCAAGACAGACGTGACTTCTTTTCTACTTCTCTGCTTGCTTCTGAGTGACAATATTACAACCCAAGAGCAGCCCTCTAGACACCTTGAAGTGTAGAACTGAAGTGTAGATCAAGATAACAATGAGCAAAAGAAAGTGGTAGATGTCAACTACTTCCTTACCATGGCTGGCCTTCAGAGAAGAGACAATTTTTGTCTGAAGATTATTCCTTCTCTGGAAACTGATATTTGGTAAAGTCTTTCCCTTCAAGAGAGACATCATCTACACACAAATATGTGAACCTCCACAAAATGACAGTGATGCTGGAATTATTATATGTAAAACTCCCCTGGGAGACCTTAGCTTGTTCACTAACCAGCTGACAGGTTTAAAACTGATCTCTTACCCTCCAGCATGGCTTAGCAATTGAGCATCAACTTATGATCCAGGAGATTGCAGTTCGATTCCCTGTCAGGGCACATGCCCGGGTTGCAGGCTCCATCCCTAGTAGGAGGCATGCAGGAGGCAGCAGATCAATGACTCTCTCATCATTGATATTTCTCTCTCTCTCTCTCTCTCTCTCTCTCTCTCTCTCTCTCTCCTTTCTCTGAAATCAATAAGGATATATTTAAAATAATTTAAAGAATAAAATAATAAAATAAAATAAAAATAAAACTGATATTGTTTGAGTCAGTGGCTAGAGCGTTGGCCCATGGAATGAAGGTCCCTGGGTTCAGGTCTGGCCAAGGGCATGTATCTCAGTTGCAGACTTGATCCCCAGCCCTGGTTGGGGCATGTACAGGAGGCAACCAATTGATGTGGATGTGTCTCTTTCACATCTATGTTTCTCTCTCTCTTCGATTCTGAAAAATAATGGAAAAAATATCCTCAGGTGAGAATTTTTAAAAAAGAGGAAAAAGAAAAAAACAACTGAGCTCTTTGGAGGACAAAGAGCTCAATCAAAGAACATTCCTCATTTTCTCTGAGCAAACCTGGGCTGTAGGATGAACTCCCATGGAGCAGTAAGAGAGAAAGAAGTCATGGGCCCAGCCAGCCTGTTGCCCCTAAAATCTTGGCTATTTAGTACAAGCACAGAAGGATGTGATGGAGCGAGAAGCCCCACATTAATTGAAATATTGTCAATAGTACTAAAAACACATCAATAGTAAAAAGCAGAATTAGTTCCTAATCCAAACCAGCTCTGACACTGACAAATTTTACTTATCCTTTCCTCTCTTCTTTGTCTTAGAATATACCATGAATTAAAAAATATCAGATATAGTTGGGGTGAAACATCTAATAATGGGTGATTAACCAAATTCTTATGTCTTTTACAGTATAGATATTTCAAGAGACTCAGTATGCACTATGGCTATTAGGTTTTTGTCATTTTTAACAGGTTTTGTTTTTAAGAGCTATAGGCAATTAGATGCTTCTGGGTTTGGGTAGAAGTCTCTTTTTTTTTTCCATTTTGTCCTCAAAAGTCAAGGAAAGGAGGATGACAGTCAGATTAGGAGGACAGTCAGATTAGTGTGTGCATGTCAGAGAATGGAATCCTGAGACCTGGAGCAGTTACTGTCTGCTGCTAAGGTTTTCACCACAGATGCAAAAAAAGTGACCCTGCACTTTCAGTCTGTCTGAGTGTGGCAGCCAATATTGAATAGAGGAATATAGGGGGAAAACATGGAGAGAGAATTTTTGCAACTCAAATATTACCTTGTAAATAGTAAAGAGCCTGTTTTACTCCCCCCCCCAAAAAATCTAAAATTTGAGTTAAAATAAAAAGAATCATGAATCTAATCTTAAAAAGGTTAAAAAATGAATTCATTAAAAAAATGAATGTAGGAAATTATTTCACTTTAAAATTAACTAGTAATATAGTCACTGTTCAGCACCTCTAAGATTATATAAAGTTCATAAATATAATATATTTAAATATAATCTTATAAATGTAGATGAATGTATCATTTATCAAAAGTAATTTCAGAAACCCAAAAAAGCAGATAGGTAAATGTATTAAATGTATATTTATTTGTCACTTCCAACATTTGGAACTATTGCTTTTAGAAGTTTAAAATGGATAGGTCACATTACCCTAAAATCAATAGATTGCTTCAAACAAGCATTCCTATTTTTTTGTTTTCTCAAAGCTCTTTTCAATGACAGTAGGACTTAACTAACCTGGTTGATGTGACCAGCACTAACTTGAAATTTGTGATAGGATGCCATGCTAAGTAATCATTTCTATAAAGAAAGTAGAATCCAAATCCATTCTAAAATCAATGTGTTCTTGAAAAATTAACACTTCACTCAAGGTATCTTCAATGGCTAGATCAAAATTAATCCAATGGCACTGATCACTTTTTGTTTAATGTGAGTCTTTTATGCATATTATGCTTCTTGCATTTTGATCTGAAGATATGCCATACAACCATTCCCTGGTTATATAACTGGTTATAATATGCAGTGCCTGTCTTTTGCTTCTAACTTGCTACCAAATCTAACCACCTTCCTCAAAATTAGAGAGTGTTTACAGAGCAGCAGTACCCAGTCACAAACATATGAATTATGGCAGTGACCTCAAGACCACTTTCTTTCCCTGGGACCTAAGCTCAGGGTTTAGAAAGTCCAGTGTTATTTCCATTTCTTTTTTGGGCCAGTATGGCTGCTGGATGTCAGGGGAAGCCCCTGCCTTGGGCCCCTCTACTGAGCTATCCTAAGACTCTTCTCTGCACTCAAGTATGGCCCTTATAACCAGTAGAAAGGAGCAGTGAATTATCTCTATTTTGATTGCATCAACATTTAAAAAAAATAGCCTGTTCAATGTTTTTCATAAGTCATAAACACTGAAATGTGAATAATTTTACTTTCATACCAGTTACATCTTAAGCATTGATATTGCCCCAAATCCCAATCACTACTATGAACCTGACTTTTTAACAACAAAGAATCTTTTGTTTTTCTCCTAATATATTAACTTAAAGTTTGAAATCATTTCTACTTTAGTTTTTCAGTTTCTGCTTCCAGTACCATCTTCCTAAATTATACTGAGATTGAAGCATAGTACAAAGTTAAAATTTGCTTGTTTTCATGCCATGATGCTGTTCATTATAATATTGTTACTAACGAAATGTCAGAGTTTATATAAGTTTTTATCTTTGCTCTTCTTTGATTTTCTCAATGATCTCCTAACAACAAGAAACATGACACTATTATTTTTTATATAATAATGAGGAAGCAGAAGCAGGGCTGGGGAACTGGTTGGCCCAGAGTTACGGAGTTAATAGTGGCAGCTCAGGGCTGGGA